AAGAAATACATAACCATCTAACCCAGTTAGAATTGTGATCTTAGGAAATTTCACATATTTCACTCTTCAAGGCAGTTCATACTAGTTTTGAAGGTAAGAAAACAGTTATATCAAAACACCCACATTGTTGTTGCAACCTTCATATAGAAGGGCAGCCCAAAAGCAATAGCTGATACCATAGAATAAACTTTGAGCCTTAATTTCCCTCACAGAACACTTATTTTGCTGATGACAAGCTTTTGGCTTGTTGTTGCTTGTTTGGTCTTGTTTGTTCATATTTGGTAGTTGTTCCTGATCTCTCCCTTCATGTGTTTTTGAGTTCCTTATATGGTTCCTGCTAGCTCCTGTTCCTTCTCCTAGCTTCTAGTTAGTAAGATATATAAGCCTGTCTCTAGTTTAGTTTTTATATTATATAGTTTCCCAGTGGAGTTTTCCCAGAGTTCAAAGTCTTCCTCTTCTTCTCGTTGTGCTGTAGCCTTTGGTTGCAGTTAGAGCAGTTTGAAGGGTTCTTGCTTTTCTTGTGCTTTCTCACAGCAGTGAGAAAGCTTGTCAGTGATTACCAGGTTGTCTGATACGTTCCGATTATGTCTGAAACGGATGGGATTCTGATGAAATCAAATAGTGATGGCAATTGATGATGGTTTCAGCCGATGACAGTCATGCCGTCAGTGCTGAGAAGCTGGTTTCTGTTAAGAAACTGATTTCTGACGAGAAACAGGGCTGGTTTCTCGTTCCCGAACAAGCTCTAACTCTCTCCTCCTTTTCCCACTGTGCATGGCTAACAACTCTTTTATAACACCTCGGCTCCACGGAAAATTGAAGTTATCAGATTGCTTCAGAAGTTGACCCTGAGAGTGCTTCTTGAACTTATACAGGTGAATATCTTTTTCTCCCTGCCAAGTGTGAACCTGACACTCCCTAGTGCATGTCCTTTTTAATAAGCAGGTCAACCCCAGCATCATAATCCATGGATCAAGAGAACTGATATGATAACTGATGCTATCAATAAAGAGGGTGCACTTGTTAGCATTAAGTATATTGATGATACATCAGCTTTTGCCTCATACTGCTATCAAACTGTGAATACAGCAAATGCCCAATATGAAACCAAAAGAAAAGATAAGTTATGCAATATTGTAATTTATAATCATCCCCAGCAAAGAAAACAATAAGCCCCTCCCTATTCACTGTGCATATCTGGGCCCGGGCCGGTTTGACACTTTATTGTGTCCTAGCTCCTGGGTGGTTTGATCCATCACAGGTTCAGAACTGGGGGGCATAGTGTCAGACTGCGGGTCAGGCTGTCCAAGGTCTTCTCCTAAGAATGCGCGCCCGAAACAGAACAGACGGATTGGCGGGCCCACAAGCAGAGTGAGCAGGGTAGATCAAAACTGAAAGGGCCCGTTAACTTGGTCCCTTGTCGCTGTCGGTGGTCGGAGGTTCGAATCGGGTCATGTCGGGCCCGATGAGTCGGTGGCACCTCCTTGCACAGAGGCTAAAGGGGTGATCGGACACCCTGGCCTCTCCTGCTCCTCCTCGCCCCCATTCCTGGCCGCAGAGGGGACGATTGTACGTCCCTTGCCAGCCAGGTGCTACTCCTAACCTTCTAGCACTCCTCCCCGGTCCCCTGGTGTCAAGTTGGGCTCGGCAACGGCTCGACGCATCGTTCTCGGTCACGTGCTTCCCATGTGTGTGTTCCTCCTACTGGGGTGCATGTTCCCCGTCATCATGTGCTGCGTATTACAAGCCTGCGATGGCCCGACACCAGCACCGGAGCAGATGGGCCGGGAGAGGAGAATGTTGCTCCGGTACTATAATTACATCAGCAAAATTGCAAACTTCTGGGCAAACTGGAATGACCTGGGGCCAGGCATTCCAGGTCGTCCAGCCGGCCAGAATGCATTTTGGGCCCAGAAGGTATTCTGGAAGCATAGTCGCCTTCTAATCCCAGAATATGTTGTGGGCTCAAAAGATGGTTTTGTTAAGTAAAATACAGCTCATGTGCAGTCCAATATGCCATCAAGTTGTGATATTCACGGTGAATAAGGTACATGCCCCGCTCTGAGAATGCCCGCATGCCCTCCGGCCTTCACCTCTACACATTTGCTCCAGGGATCCACGGTTGTTGATAGCAGCGCGCGTTGTGGATGGCCGCGAGGGGGGAGAGTAGCACCCACGCCAGCAATGGCACTGGCGGCAAGCAGTGTTGGGGTCGACAGGGGGGGGACCACCAGACGCGACCGTTACCGTCGCATCGCAGCAGCGGCAGGGTCAGTCGGCGCAGCAGTCTTGACGGCTGCAACACGTGTTAGCTTTCATGATTTCCAATGTAAGCTGCAACTCACCAGACTTGAACGCGCACACAGACTTCACGCATCCCCGCCTGCCACCAAGCCCACACTCGGAGTCACTTTTGCACGACCACACACGGAGACGCCCGCGGCCGGGCGGCTCCATTGTCAGATGATTGCTGGGTCCGTCTTGAGTCAACCTTGCATAGAACGTAGCCCGCAGTCATTGAGTTGACGAGTTTGGAAGAGTGCAGCCTTGTGTTTGCGCAATTTGCAGTGGATGCGGGAATTTGATGAGGTTTGAAGCTTTGATAGGTGTTCGTAGAGGATTGAGTGCCCGGAAGGCGTGGATTTGAGGGTCGGGGGAGGTGCAGTGTGAGTCTTGCTGTGGGGGAGGTGGGGGGAAAAGGAAGGAAGACGGCGAGCGTTTGCACCGCATTTGGCAAATGATGTGACATCTGACATCAATCAAGCACGCCATCTGCCATGTGATGTCCGGACCGCTATGCTCGCTATGCCCTTCTTGCCCTCAGTCCTCTTGAAATGTGAATAATACCTGAAGACATTGCTTAAATGGTAGTGTGTGGACTTGAAGCAAATATTCAAAAAAAAATTAGTCACCCATTTCACCCATTTCGGCCAGTTATCCCAGGGCTCTCCAGAATGCCCAGAAGTTTGTAGTTTTGCTGATGTATAAGCCTGTGAAAACAGCCGCCTCAGACTGACACAAGGACCTCTGATAAACCTGGAGGTTGATCCAGAAAATCAATGTTTTGACACATCCGTCTGAACTTTTTTGAGACCCTTGCCTGCATAATCCGTCTGAATTCTGCTCCTAACCTCCACTGTTTTGAAAATCCATCTGAACTTTCTGAAAAACATTCTTTTTTTTTCCTTTAATAATTCTCTATTGTCTCCCCCCCAGTCGGAAGGATCAGAGCCTCCTCGGTGCACCGGCAGTGATCTTGAGGCAAAAGTGTATCTCCTTCAACTGGCATATCGTCAAATCATGCTGCAACCAAGTTCGGAGAAATTGCATGTCCGAACTTAGAATCCAGGCTCTTATGCGCCTAGACAACTGTTGTCCGAATCCGCCTCCAACTTATCTCTAAAGTTTTGTCCCAACTCTATATTCGGCCTGTGATCGAATTATCAGGCTAGATACCTATGTTGTGGGGTCGCGCACAGAAAATGAAAGAATTCCCAAAAAAGGAAAGAAGGGAGAGAGAACGAAGAGAGAAAGGGAGAATCCCCGCTCTGTATCGCGCTTAAAAGTTATATATTCAATGTGAAAATACATGCCTCCAAAGTCCACCATTCACATTTTCTCCAACGGGCCAACGCCGCGCAAAGTAGCTTGCGCCCTCAAACGATCCGGAGCCCGACTGAAAATCGTGGAATTCGCCTTATCGGGCGGTGTCGAACGCCAAACGTGCCGCTGATGAAGATACCTCTGCCTCCATTTGGCGATTTTTGCCACAGCCGCAACGTGATCCGTCGAATCGACTCCAATCCGCTCGCCAACCTGGTCTGCTCTTGACCACAACATGCATACTCCACGCCTCCCACCCGCCCTCCTACACACGCATGCAACCTCGCAATCCCTTCGCCCTCGTTAACTCGCTCCGAGCTGAGTCATCGACTCCGCAGCCTATCGCGTTCGCGACGCAGACTTGGCCGACGTCCAATCAACTTGCACAACCGACTTGCGCCCGCCAGCTGCATCTGTCAACGCTCCATGGCGATGCGACGCCTTTCCGAGCCTGACAACGTCGTCCGCCATCCACGAAAGCCGCTCATCACGTGGCTGGCTTCCGGACATCTCTGGCTGCAGCCAGAGATGTCTTCCAAGCGTGCTCATGAATGAGCACGCTTGGCTGCTTGCTTCTTGGCTTCAGGTGCGTAACAGTACACACCTAGACTGTCTATAAGCGCTAACTTTTACCTCTAGCTGCTCGTTATCGACTGCCTGCCACATTCCGCATCCCGACATCGTTCCTCCCTCCCAAAACACCGACTCTTGCGTCGTACAGCGACGTGGAGACCCTCCACGGCATGCCCATCGCAATCTGGTAGCCTGCCATCTCAAATGCGACTCCCTCGGGACCTGACACCCGCCATTTCCGACTTGACTCGATACCGCGCCAACACAGACTCTTTTGTGCCAGTGTCCAACGGATTAACGAGGGTGTTGGATCGTGGAGGAGGGAGTTCAGAGCGACCTGGGAAGCCGGGAACGACGGGTAGAGCGTGCGTGGACGCGCCGCAACCACGTCGACATCACTGGCTCACAGCCAGCGATGTCCCAAGCGTTCTCTCCAGGAGAGAACGCTTGCAGCTTGATTCCTCTGTCCCGGTGCGTCTAAATCAACACGTTCTTCTTAATACTTACCTACTTTAACAGATTCTGCGCGATCGTGGTCAACGAGACGCGTCTACGACGCGCCGCTGCCTGACAGGTTCGGTCGGCAAGCATATGCGGGATTGGCGATGGACGGGTGCATGCAAACGGTCGACAGAGAAGAGGGCTCGGAGAAGCATGGACATCGGTGTTCGCGTTCGAAAACGGTTTGTCATGCGAGTGCTCGCTCGGGATGGGGTCGGGCACTATTTGCGGTTGTCGGAACCTTTATACAATATGGTGCATGTTATTGCTTGCGACGCTCGAGTGATACTAACGATTTAATAGATACATTGTGTATTCTAGCTTTAAAATGCGAGCCGGCTTTGCGCTGTCGGCAGATTATGCCTCGTAATGCCCAGATGCGAGCAGGCTTCATCCGTGAGCTGGTCCGGAGGCAGCTTCGATGCCTCCACGCAACGGATCTTGTCCTTAGCTCGTGAACTCCGCCCTGCACAATCAACAACTTTGCGTTTTCCACAATCGGCGCACGAGTTGGTACATTTGTACCAGCCATTGCGTCCTGCGCATGACACCATCGTACAACGCGGGCAATGGCGGACTTTCGTTGGTTGGACTCGTTTCGGGGCTGGTAGACTGGCTGCCGCGTCGTCGTCGAGCGCACGTTTGCGACTGTTAGCAATGGTTGACTGGGCGGTGGGAAGGGAGAGCTGGTTAACGGCTGAGAAGGAAGTGGTGTATGCCAATGGTGGTGTGGATGAGCTTGCGGTGCTGGGATGTCGGGTTCAGCCAGTAGAGGTAACCAAACAATGAACTTACGGCTCTGGAGACGGTGCGTTTGCGAAGCCCGCAGTAACACGATGCAGGACAAGCTCCGAACTTGGCGCGTTGACGATATGGTTGGAGCGAGAAGGCTCGCGGATTGTTTTCTCGAATGCGCTTGTCTCGTCACGTATGCGAGAACACGACAAGCGAATGTTGGCGCCGTCTTTGTATGCACCGTTGAAGTAGGACGTGAGCTGCTCCTCGAGCTGAATAATATGAGCAACGGGTAACACAATTTCGAGATTCCAACCTTGTAGAAGATCATCTCTGTTGGGTTTGCGCTCCGATTCCAGATGACGGTGGCAGCAGCGGTGATGCTGTTCTTGCACGACGAAAACTTCTCCGAGGTCCGCATGAGTGAAGCAAACAGCTTCTTCTCGGCAACGGTGTGAACTGGAAGCACTGGGATCCGAGTGCCCTGCATTTTGGCCAAATATGCTTGTTTCTGTTTGCTGTCGGTCGCGGTGTTGTACGACTGGATCTCGAGCGACGTGCAGATCGACTGGGGAATCTTGACGATGCCAACCGACTGCTCGGATTGCTCAAAGAGATTTCCGTTGACCCAGGAGAGCTCGAGTGGTGCTTTACCGTAGTACTCGCCAAGAGTAATCTCAAGTTGCTGGATCTGGTTTGTAAGCCATATTGAGTCGTGCCCGGCGTATTTCTTGCCCGTCGAGTTGAAGTGACCAACCTGTTCATTCATCAGTAACAAGATAAAAGAGCCAAAAGAATTACCGTGAGGTTATGGCGGAGGACAAAATCGAGCAGACAAGCTACCATATGGCGAACCGAAGCACCCCGGGATGGAAGCTTCTTGAGTAGGTGAGTGTGGACACCACCCTCAACCATATTGGTGCCGCGAATGCACCGATAGAGTGGTAAGCCGCCAGCCTCCTTATCGAAGCCAATGCAGTAGTAGAGGATAACACCAGGGATGTCAGAGACGTATCCGTATCGTATAAGTTCAAGGATGTTCTTCGCAATCTTCCATGCAGCAGCATTGAAGAGAGGAAGTCCAGTTTTGGCATCCTTGAGAGGTCCGTATAGTAGGAAGAGTTCGCGTACAAGGGGATAAAGAAGCTCGGGAGGAGGGACAGTCCGTCGACAACGATGCCAAAGCCATTTAGGTCGGAATCGAAGCATATCCTCCCAAGTAAGATCCTTGGTTTTGAGATACGCTTCAATCCGAGCCTTATCGGCAGGATGGGGAATAAGGCAAGTATCTCGAAAAGCACGAATGAAGGCAAGACGAAGTCCATGGGTATGAGAAAGGTAGAGCATATGAAAGACATGGAAGATATCCTTGAGAACATGACTACGCACTGTATGCAGGTAACGGAGATAATCGCAAGCTTGTTCTCCCAATGCTGCCACTCCAGCTGTGGCGCTTGCTGGGTCGGGAGTTGCTGATTCTGCCGTCGCTGGAGGTGCGTCAACAGGATCTGGCTCATCGAGGCTCTCGAATGCGGAAATGAGATCCTCAGAGGGCTCGGTAGGTGGAGTTTCGGATGCAGGAAGTGGTCCGGATGAGGAAAGTGAGGAAGTTGAGGAGGATGTAGTAGCTGGGGTTGGAACAAGGCGAACGTGTGCATGATGGGCAATGACGTCGAATGGTGCTGTACCAAACGAAGCGAGCGAGCGAGGCTGCTTGTTGTCGTCCTTGTTGATCCCGATAATGGCAGCAGGCACAAGAACATCGGTGATGGTAAGCACGGTCCCTTGGTACCGGCAATGTTGACATTGCGGAAGGATTCCTGAGTTGAGTTGGTCGAAACAACACCCCGAGCAGCGGGGATCTTGTTATCGTCGGTGAGGAGGATAACCGGCATCCCCGGGGCAGGCGATTCCGCAGAGGTGGATGGTGTTGGGAGTGGTGTTTCGTTGATTTTGTTATAGAGCCGAAGCGAGGCATACGCATCACGTGCCGCGTACTCGAGTTGAGCTTGCGAAAGCTCATTGTCCGACCAGTTGCTACTGATTCGCTCTGACGCTGGCTTGGGCAAGCACTGGTGCAAAAGCGAAGCAACAAGGTCCGCCAAAGATAGTGTTGCCTTCTTCACCAAGAATCGGGCCTTGGCAAAGGCAGCGAGGTCGAGACCACCTTGGAAATCAGATGGAGGGCGATTGCAGGCAGTTGCAAGACGACCAAGGTCACCGTTAACCTGGCGGCCAGCTTTGATGACCTGCGCATGACAGAGGAAGTTGACAAGCTGGTTGGGAAGGCTTGCACGGCTGAGCATCTCGCCAACCTGAACTTGCTTAGCACCAGTAGAAGCCCTGGATCCATACGCTTACCTGTAGAATGTATACAGCCTCTCGATACGCGATTTGAATAACAGCCGGAGGGCTGTTACCATTAAACCGCCCGTACTGTGTCATGTCGACGTTCCATTCGGAGTTGAACCCAACAACGATTTCCCCGTGGTCAGGAACATCCTCGAGAATGGCTTGTATGGTGTTATTGATTGACGTCTCGGAGTCGAGCACAATGGGGTTGCAAACAAACGAGGGAGTGTCAAAAAGTGGGAGATGGGAGTACTTCTCAACAGGGATGACCGCCTCGAGAAGGGACAGGAATATCCTCTCGAGCATGGCCTTGTCAACCATGTTGTCGGTGTAGAAGACCTCGGGTAGGCAATGCCCATAGAACTCGAGGTCGTGGGCGAGGCGCTGTAGCGCATCGTCGAACTGGGAATGCGACTTGGTTGCAACAAATACGCAAACGACAATCTCGCCCTTCTCGTTGGTGACGGTGAGCAGGGCGGTGAAGATGGGGACACCATCAACTTTGAAGACGTGTTTAGCGAGCTGGAGATAGTTAGACCTCGATCTAAATTCAATGAGACACTCAAACCTTGTGACTGTGGTCGATTGCGCAGACTCTTCCTGACCCCATCGCCGTATGTTGGTTAAGCTCATTCCGGTGCGACTCGATAAAGTCGTCATAGACATCGCGCAACCACTGACCACTCGGTGTAAACCCTCCAGTGCAGTGGTCCTCAAATGCGGGGTACACCTCATAATCCTCCGACTGCCCGCTCTCGCCCATGAAGAGCTCCATCTGCGCAAACTTCTTTTGCAGGTACTGCAAACGCATCTCGTCGTAACGTCGGAGATGCTGCATGCGGAACAGATCTGCAGCCTCCGAAGAGCCCATCCCGTGCTGGATGCATGACCGTAGAACGCCAAATGCGCGTTTGGAAAGCCCGCTACGCCACGTAAGATGGGCAGGGAATTCGGCAGCCAGCGGTTGCGGGATACGCGCCAGAACACGTTGGTCCCATGAGCGAAACTTTTTCCGGCACGTTCCCTGGCTGCAGGCATATGAGTGCCCGACCAGCCAGAAGCATCGATCGACATCGACAACGCGTCGAGGCCGTTTAACTGGTCCGTCACGGATGAGGTGTCCCGAGCAGTCGTTTGTGGGGCAGCGTGGGCGGAAAGCAGCACCGAGCATTGCCAATGGGTCCCATAGGAAGAAGTCGGCCGAGAATGTGTCCTCTGGCCGCAAATTCGTCTTGTTGAGCGCCAGAAACCACAACGGCTTGCCCCGAACCCAAAACGATCCATCGGTGTAATAGCGCTGAAGAGCGGGCGACGCGTTGGGTGGGTGAAACGCGAGCTGAAACGCGTGGTGAAACGCGCACAGCACGGTAGCGAGGAGTATTGGGCGGTGAGGAGGGAGACAGGACAACAGCCATGGGGACAATGGCGGTGGTGGAAACGGGTGGCGGCTGTGGCAGCAACGGCCAAGGCAGTGAGGGAGACCGAGGCTGTGGACGCGCCACGGTCGCGCGGAGCTGAAACGGTAGCGAGGGACGCGAAAACCTATATATTTAGCTCAAATTGTACCTATTAGACCATTGAATCCCCGTCACGGATTGCAGTCACAGCCTGATTACCAAAGGGTAAGGGCTTCACGGAAGGAAACGGAAGGACACGGCCTGCTTACCAAAGGGTAGGGGCATCTATTTGGACTACGACTACGACTACGACTACGACTACGGTACACTACGGAACGCAATTGAATTAAGAAGCGCCAAGACATTGATTGACACCGGAGCCGATAACGCCGCCGGTCCGATATTGTATTGGATCTTCACTCTACGTTCACACGACTCTTGCCGCTGCGCCGGAAGGTCTCTCAAATTATCAAACTATCTACACACCCTATAAATTTTGAACACTACTGGATTGCAACAGTCATATACTTTGGCTGGAGCCCCCGTACTTGCACGCGTCTTAAAACGAATCGGAGTTTGAATTTGGCTGGACTACTACATTGGTTGGTTGGGTTAGTTGGTTGTGTGTGTGTGTGTTGTGTTTCTGTTGAGTTCACTTCTCTTCTTCTCTTTTCCCCACCCCATCCATCCCATCCCATCCATCCATCACCCTCCTTTTGGCTGGTCCATCACCCATCTCTCCACCCACCCTCCCTTTCCTTTTCGAGCGTTTCATCTGGAGCCCACCGCGAGGGGGTTCATCCAGTTTAACAATCAACAAATTATATTGTGTTGATCACATATAATCACGAGTTCAAGGCTATCTGCAGCATATATTGCAAGAAATTTGGAACGGGAGAAAGCACGTGATCGCGCAGAGCGCTGGTCAGAATTACGTAACACACAAGTCACATTTGGTCACATTGATCCAGACACAACACAAACTGAGGCTGCTGAAGAAGATTCTTTTGAACTAGAAGGACATATACTGGCTGGACTACCTTCTATCCTTGAAGAATCTGAACTACAAGAAGGACAAGACTTTGGTCATAGCACTGAAGACCATCATCACTGGGTACCATTGATTGGTAACAGGAATACAGCAACTCCTTCTTTAAACATTTCATCATCAAGTGCTTCACCAGCAGTGGGGCATCAGGAGAGAGTTGTAGCTTGGGTTGAATTATTGGCTTCTGCACTTAGGCCAGACCCAGAAGATATCCCTGAAGGCAGTTCAGAGGTAGAAGTTAAGCAAGAAGAACAAGAACAGGACCTTGGAGAGACAAACCTTGAGCAGGCTCTAGGACTTGACTACCAGAATCCAGACAACTACCACAACTGGGATAACCAACTCCCATACACAACACCTATACCTGGTTCACCAAGTTCCAGTTCATCTTCTTCATCTTCATCTTCATCCAACAACCAAGCACCAATGGCAGCAAACCAGGCTAGTAATGGAACAAACTCTGCTCCATTCAAGATACCAAGACCATGGGAATCAGGAGTTCCTAGGTTCACATCAGAGGACAAGAATGATTTGATTGATTTCCTGGATCAAGTTGATGATATCATCACTTTGGGAAAAGTCAATCAGGATCAGGAAAAGAAGACTATGTTGACCAGTTACCTTTCCAACAAGAGGAAGGAAGAGTGGAGACTCTTAGCAGAGTACACTGATATTACCAAAACATATGAGGAGTTCAAGAAGGCAATCAAGAAGATCTATCCTGAGGTAGAGGAAGACAGGTTGGGTACCATGAAGGACCTGGAGGAGTTATGTGACGAGTATTATGGCATCTGTCACACTCAGGAAGGAAAACTTACCAGATTTGGATTGAAGTTCAAGGCTTTAATCAAGAAACTTCAGAGGAACCCTGCTATAATTCTGAACAAAGAGGCTTGTAGAAGGTACCTGGATACTCTGGAGAAAGAGTTTGCCAGATCTTTGAAGACTGTCATGCATACCAAGAATATTCTCAAGGAGGAGACACCTCCTGCAGCTGGAGCAGCAGCAACTTCAGACAGGAAGGAAGATCCAATTAAACTGGATGACTTGATCAAGTTGGCAGAAAGATATGCCAAGACCAATGGAGGAGACACCACCTATGACATTGGTTCACCAACTGAGGTCAGGAGATCAGAGAAATTTCCACGGGTCAAACTGGAAGAATGTGATGTCAGGCTTGATGATTTGGAAGGCCAAGTCTCTGGGCTAAGAGATATGGTTGATGCAGGACAGAAACAAACCAAGTCTTCAATTGATGAATTGGTCAAGGCTTTCCAAAATCAGAGGAACAACCCACCACGTGACCGTGACGATCAGGATCAGCGTGACAGAGCACAGAACTCTTATGGTCAACAAGACAGGGGTTACAACAATAATAGAGGATATGGTGGAGGTATGAGCAGAGGGGGAATGAATGGTGGCAACAGCAGTTCAAGTTGCTACTATTGTGGAGACCCAGACCACTTTGCAAGAGAGTGTCCTAGGAAGCATCAACACTTGATGAAGGGTTGGATTGTTGTGGAAGATGGCAAACAAAGGCTGTCTGATGGCAACATCATCCCACCAGGACCAACACCTGTTGCAATCAGAGTTGAGGATTATTGGCAGAGGAAGGGAGCTGCAGGCCAACACTACTATGGTGATGGGCCACTAAGCATCAATGATGATGAGTTTGATCTGCTCAGAGATGAGGTCAGGACTATCCATGTCAAGCTTAGCCAGCTTGCAGATCATGGTGGACCCACTTCAAGCAATGGAAGATATGCAGCACAACCCACCTACATGGCACAGAGTGCACTAATGCCTATGATGTCTCAGCAACCATCTACACCTGCTATGGATATGGAAGCTTTTGGAAAGGCAGTATTCCAGATGATGAACAATCAGAGTGGAACCTCTGATCAGTTCTCACAGCAGAGGAAGCCCAAAGGCAACAATTCTCAAGGTTCGGGTTTTTAGAGACCTCGATGAAGGAGGGCCAACATCAGAATAGGCCACCTGAGAGGGAGGAAATTGATGAATTAGAGGATGATGAAGACCAGGAACCACCAAGACAACCAGTCAAGAAAGCTAGAGTTAGCAAGGAAATGAAGAACCTTCCTTACAAGTTTGTCCAAGTTGGAGGTGGGGCTCGAACTCAGCCACCCAAACCTAGGCAACCTGAACAGGAAGATGAACATGATAGCGCTGGGCGCTCTTACAAGCTGAAGGCTCCTATTCAAAGGGAAGGCCTTGCAGAAGATATTTTGGGCAGGATCAATGACACAGAGGTCACCATTAGACTTGGTGATTTGTTTGGGCTTAGCAAGGACTTGAGGGACCGTGAGAGAATTCGGCTCACCAAGACCAGACAACCACTAGATGCACAAAGCATACCTGGGGTGTCTATGGCCTCAAATACAGCACAATTGGTACCAGAGGAAGAATTCAAGTTGGACAGTGATGCAGTTGAAATGGGAGATTTGCCTGGAGTTGCAGGGGTATTTATTGTCAACACTGAGGTTGATGGTATACCAGCTGGATCTATGATTGCTCAGGACCCATATCTTCAATACCTGGATGGTCTTGAGGAGGATGAGACACCAAGACAGATCTATGTTGCCAGGGACTCTGAACCTCTCAAGGTCACCTTTCCCCATATTCACTCAACTGGACCAATTGAATGTGTCTTGGATTCTGGATCACAAATTGTCTCAATGTCATTGGAGACAGCTCAAGCATGTGGTTTGATGTGGGACCCATCAATCAACATTTACATGCAGTCAGCAAATGGACAACTGGAGAAATCTATGGGATTGGCAAGGAATGTTATGTTCAGATGGGGAGAATTCAAGATCTTCCTGCAAGTTCATGTGATCAAAGGACCAGCTTACAAGGTTCTGCTGGGCAGACCTTTTGATGTTTTGACCAAGAGCAGGATGGCACATGAAGGAGAACACCAGATCTTGACTGTGACAGACCCCAACACTGGAAGGAACTGGACTGTACCAACATTTGATAGGGCCAAGAACAGCACTGGAGCACCTAAGACCAAGGAATCTGCCCTACCTGTTTCTTTGGAGACCAACATGAGAAAGGATTTTCACCAACCTTCAATGATTTGGCAGGATTGGGCCAAGGAGAAGAAGTTGCAGTGCTGATTGGGTTTGATGAGGATGGAAAGGCCTCAAAAGAGGACATTGGGACTTGAGACAGTCTCTATACAAGGCTACTGGAGGAGATCTACACAAGTGGTACTGGTTCTTCCATCAGGTTTTATGGGCAGACAGGATTACCATCAGGAGAGGAATGGGTTGCTCTCCATACTTTGCAGTTTGTGGTGCACACCCAACCTTGCCTCTGGATATAGCAGAGATCACATGGTTATCAGAATTCCCTGATGCCATCATCTCAACTGATGAGCTCATTGGACTGAGAGCCAGAGCCTTTGCTAAACATGTCACTCATGTGGAAGAAATGAAGGAAAGAATGCATAGAGAAAGAGCTCTATCTGCAAAGGAGTATGCAGAAAAGTACAAAAAGATCATCAAGGATTACAAATTTGGACCTGGTGATATAGTCTTAGTCAGGAATTCAGAAGATGAAGACTCTACCAGTGCTCGCAACAGAAGTAGATGGGCTGGACCTTTAGTGGTCATCAGAAGGACTAAAGGAGGAGCTTACATTGTGGCTGAACTCAATGGAGCAGTCTGGCAGAAGAAAATAGGTCGATTTAGGGTCATTCCC